ATCACTACAGAAGTAGATTGCCCCATCTTCCTTCCATGATACATTTTAGGGGGACACAGATCAATTCATGACAGGCTGAAAAGTTGGGATGATGGCATAATACAGAAGGTCTTAGTTCTGAGGCAATGGGGAGCCATTGCAGACTCCTGCTCAGGGGGTAGGACATAAAACAAGGCTGGTCGATGCGGAAGTCACCCTGAAGGCAGGTTGGGGAATGAACAGGTGAGGTCAGTGTGGTAGTTAAGGTTATGCATCAACCTTGCTGGTTTCAAGTGGCTGGGCAGCTGGGTGCAGTTATTCCCCATGATGAGACTGGTAATCAGCTCCATGGTGGAATCTCCTGGAGCAGCTGAGTAGCTGCCTTAGGGATGTGGTCTGCTCCCAGTATAAAAGGAGAAGCCTTGGGAATGGTCTGTAGCTTTTGGCAGCTTGAAACCTGCATGTAGCCGGGTCATTATTCAGCAGCCTGCCATGTTGTCTGCCAATCTTAGGACTCTTAACGAACTTGAATCAGTGGCCTGCCATGTGGTTTGGTGACATCGGGACTATGTCTTTTTACTTGTCAACCTTGGGTTTGTCAGCCTCAGCAGCCAGCAGCTGCCTGAGTGAAGAAAGCCTCCAGCTCCAGTGGGCAAGAGGCAGAGCTGAAGTCCAAGGTCGAGGGGCTTTCACCCAGCCCCTAGAGTCTGGCACTTTGAACTCAAGACTTCTAGCCTTCAAAACTATAAGAGAATAAACTCCTGTTTGTTCAAACCATCCCATTTGTGGTATATTACTGTCAGAGTGGGACTAGGTAACCAAAACATTCAGTGAGGAGGGCTGGTCAGTGCTATCTACACAAACCAAAACAAAACCAAACTCACTACCGTCGAGTCGCCGTTTGAGTCGGTCCCAACTTATAGCAACGCCTCCTTGGGTTTCCCAGGAGGTATCACCATGGAAGTAGATTGCCCAATATTTCTTCCGAGAAGTAGCTGGTGGGTTTGAACTGCCAGCTTTCTGCTTAGCAGTTAAATGCCTTTCAAAGCAGGCAGATGGAATGAGCATTGGGTAAGGGGATGGGGGCCATCAGAGGGCTACTGCAATTAAAGAAGGGTAAATGGACCCTTCAGGGCTAGCCAAGAGCACCTGGGCTGAAGCTGTAACCCAAACCAACCTCTGTTCACTTACTGGGGTTGCTACAATTTAGGGATTGGATACAGAATGGATCAAGATCCTCTCTCCTCCTCTTGCCCAAGCTGCAGTCATACATTTCTCTCCAAAAGCCCCACTGCCACCCTTCTCCAACAGGTATCACTATGGAAGTAGATTGCCCAACCTATCTAGAAGAGTGGCTGGTAGGTTTGAACCATCAGCTTTCTGGTTAGCAGTCAAATGCCTTAGGCATTATGCTGCCAGAGCTCCTGGCTGGTACTCACCGGCAATCTCCCTTCCCTTCAGGAAGGCGGGCACCTAGGGACCTGAGAGATTTGCTCTGGGCCTGACAAGTTGCTATGAGGGGAGGAGCAGGTCCAACAGCCTGAAAGACTGACTCCTCCTCTCCTCAGGCTGTATCCACCCCCTAGTCTGCCCCTGGCTCTCTCTCCATGGTCAGGTCAGGACAGTGACGCGGGAGTCAGGGGACTGGGAGAGCAGAGCGCTGGGGGTGTGGTGGGGTTCAGGGCAGAAAACACATGCGGACGTGTGTGGACGTGTGTGGATGTGTCTGTGTGCGTGTCCATGTCCCACAGCTGGGCTCTGGGAAAGCAGCAGAACCTGACTCTGAGGGCAGAGTGGGGCTGGAGGTGCCTGGGTTTGGGAAGGGACAGTGGAACCAGAGGGTAGACTGGGGCATGGAGGCCTAGGAGCCAGGGCCCCAGGCCCCAGGAGAACCCTAGGGAGCAGGTGCAAGGTGAGATGGAGTGTTCTGGGCCAACGCAGGTCCTCATTCTTCCAGCCAAGCCAGCCCAGGAGCCCCATCACAGCCCTGCTTCCTCTGTCTGCCCTCACCCCCATTCATTTTTCCAACTGCCTCTTTGATCATGCTCCCCCCACCCCACCCCGCACACCTTCTGGTTCCCTTTCCCACCTCCAGCAGGACTTTATCTAGGTCACCTTCTCATCGTAGCCTCCCTGACTTTTATGTTTTTATTATTTTTTTTAATTGTGATTTGGGTGAAAGTTTACAGAGCAAATTCAGTTCCCATACAGTAGTTCATACTCATTTTGTTTTAAGACATTGACTGCGATTCCCCACAATGTAACAGCTCTCTTCCCACTTCCTCCCCATAGTCACCTCTTCTCTGTGTCCTTCTTTCCTATGCATTCCTGCCCCCTCCCTAAGCTGTCTCCCTGTGCACATACTGCCCTTCTGTTCTCCCACGATTGATTGCTCTAAGGAGTGTATCTGTCTGACGTCAATGTTCAGCCCGTATGTCTGTCTGTTGTTTGGCTGGAAACCACAGGAATGAGTTCAGTCCCAGACCTGAAGGGTATGGTAATTAGTCTTGGGGGTCTCACCAGGCTCTATCAGGCCAGTAAACCTGGTCTTTTTCGTGTGTGATTTTGGGTTTTGTTCCACATTGTTCTCTGACTCTATTCAGGATCTCCTGCACTGATCCCTTTCCGAGTGGTTGACAGTGTGCATCTCTGACTTTTTTTGTTAAGTTGCTGTCAAGTCACTTCTGACTCATGGTGACCCCATTTGTGTGAGAGCAGCACTGCTCCATAGGGTTTTCAAAATCCTCCATGGGATTTTTCTGGAAGTAGATTGCCAGGTGCGTCTTTTGAGTCACCTTTGGGTGGATTCAAGCCTCCAACCTTTCCTTGTCTACCTAACCTAAAACTGCAACTTCCCCCAACACTCTCGATCCCCCTTCAGTGACTTTTCTCCTTGTTCTTATTCTCATTTGACATGCACCAAGCAGCCTATGTGTTTAGGAGCTCTGGTAGTGTGGTGCCTAAGGCGCCTGACTGCTAACCAGAAGGCTGGCGGTTCAAACTCACCAGCCACTCCTCGGAAGGAAGATGGGGCAATCTACTTCCTGCCTCGGAAACCCAAGGAGGGGTCACTATGAGTCAAGTCTGACTCGACAACACATATCAACAACAACATCTCTTACTCACTTTTGTGTTTGTTGTCTGTTTCCAATGAAGGCAGAGATTCCTGTGTGTTTCATTCACTACTCTGTCCCCATGTACCTGGCCAAGGGTAGGTAAAAACCTAGAGTGGGACTATGCTCCCTGGGATTTTCAATGCTGTGAGCTTTCAGAAGCAGATGTCCAGGTCTTTCCTCCAAGGTGCCTCTTGGTGGGTTTGAACGACCAACATTTCTGTTAGTAGTTGAGCACTTAACCAACTGCACCTCCCAGGGACTCCTGAAAAGTAGACACTCCATAAATATTTTTTGTATGAATGTTTCCCACCTTTTCCAAACCAAATCCAGATTCTTCAGCATGGTGATCAAGCACTTTCACAGCCTGGCCCCTCCCTAAGCAGTGTTCTGACCTCATTTCCTACCTTTTCCTTCCATACTTTGCAGAACGCCCCACCCTCCATTCACTTTGCTAAATCAATCAACTTCCAACCCAGCTCACATATCTCCCCATAAAAATCCTTCAAGGCCCAGCTCCCTGTCACCTCCTCCATCAATTTTTCCTTGATTCATCCAGTGAGAGGTGAGCTTTCTTCCTCTTCCAAATTCTTACAGCTCAGATGTGCACACTCCAGTCCTTACACTGCCTGTGTACCCATCTCATCTCTACTTACAGACTGCAGACTGCAAGAGGGCAGGAGCTAGGTCTTAACACATCTTTTTGTCCTGCCAAGTGTGTCATTAAGTGCTTTACACAAGGTAGGTATAAAATGTATGAATAAAATCTCTCTAACATCATGGGTCAAGGAGCTTTGGTGGCATAGTGGTTAAGGCATCTGGCTGACAACCAGAAGGGTGGTGATTCGAACCCACTAGCAGGTCCACAGAAGAAAGATGGGGCAGTCTTGGAAAAGGGCCTCAGTCCTTGTGCCTTGATGTCCCCATCTGGTGAATGGGTGTAAGGAAAGTATCCGCCCCCTTCCATAAAGATTTCTAGCCTTGGAAACCTGATGGGGGTCGCTATGAGAGGGAATCAACTTGGTGGCAGTGAGTTTGAACTTTTTTTTTTTATTTTAATATCACGGGTCAAGAAGCTCTGGTAGCATAGTGTCTAAGGCACCTGACTGCTAACCAGAAGGCTGGAGGTTCAAACCCACCAGCCACTCCTCAGAAGGAAGGTTGGGCAATCTTCCATAGTGATACTGCCTGGAAACCCAAGGAGGGTCGCTATGAGTCAGATTCCACTCAAGGGCAGTGTTTTTTTTTTTTTTTTTTCCTCATGGGTCAGGGAAGGGAGTGAAGGGATACATACATAGGCCCCTGTAACTATAGGACCTTTTTTGTCTTTTATGAAACCTCTATGAAGGGGGCTGATAGTTTCCTTGCACCCATTTGCCAGATGCGGACACCAAGGCACAAGGACCGAGGTCCTTTTCCAAGGTTGGAGAGGCCAGCTAGCCTCGGACTCCTGGTCCTGGGAGCTTACACTCTGCCTCAGTGGTTCCCAGAAGCCAGTAAGGCTTAGCTGCAAATCTAAACTCTCATTCCTGCTGGGGGTACCTCAGTTCAGGGTTCTTAGACTCTTGTGATACAGGCTGACTTACAGCACAGGTTGAAAAGCAAATGTGAGAGGGGATGTGTGTCCTGTGTAAAATGTGCTTGTATCCAAAACATTAAGTTTCTGTGTTTTAGGGGTCCTAGAAAGTGAGAGCTAGGGAAAATACCCCAAATTCCTTGCTCAACGTGCCCCCATCAAATTCTTCGACGCAGGCAACACTGGTTTCTAGAACTTGTGCTGGGACTGGGAGGAGGAAGGCAAATGGCTCGACTTTGCCAGCAGCTCCCAGGCTTCCGGACGCAGCTACTGGAAGAACCCAGGCACTCTCCGTTTGGAGCCCCTGCCCCAAAGTGGGAACCTCCGACGGGATGTGTCCGTCCCCAGCCCGCCCCAGAAGCGCACTTCTCGCAGGCCCAGGCGTTCAGCCCAATGCGCGCCCCGCAGCCTTCCACTCCCCGGACCCAGGGGTCTTCCCGGCAGACCCGAGCCGCACTCGCGCCTGCAGCAGCCGTCGTTCCCGCCCCCGGCAAGCCCCGGACCCAGGCGTCCTGCCCCCTGCTCTGACCCCTGGTGGCCCCCACCTCCGGCGACCCCTCACGCACACACCCTCACCCCCACCCCCACCCGCGCACGCACACATGCTGATAACAGCCCCGACCCCCGGCGGGAGCCGCAGTCCCCGAGCCAACCCTGGCCGGTCGCTTCGCCGCGCCTTCTTCCCGGACCCTGGTCGGGGGCACTGTGCTTGCTGTCCTCCGACCCCTGACTCGGCGGCCGCGACGTGCCTGCGCCCCCTGCACGGCGACCCCCTCCTCCAAGCCAGTCGAGCTGGCCCTGCTACCCCGGGATGAGGGCTCCCGGCATGGGCGCCCGCCGAGCTCCTGGTCGCTGAGGGGTCCCGGCAGACACGGAGATGGGGGTGCGCAGTAAGTACTCGCAGGCTGGGGGACCGTCCTTCAGGCCGAGGCCCGCCCGCCCCGGGCCGGTCCCCTGTTTGCCGAGGGATTTGCCGCGGGGGGCTATTGACCGGGAGGTGGCTAGGTTCAAGGACCCACGACTCGCCAAGGACCCCGGAAGGGGGAGGGGTGGGGCAGCCTGCACGTGGGGCACGGCTTGGCGAGTCCCTGTGCAAGGCACAGGTCTGACCTGGAGACAGGGACAGGTTTGGGGGTTCAGGAGAAGAGGGGCTGCTCTGTGGGAAGGGCCCAAGCTGATCCCCGGGTCTTGGAGCGGCAACCCGGAGCTGCGAGTGGGGAAGCCTCTGTCAACCTGGGATTGAAGTTTGGCCTCCGAAGTGGTTGCCGGTAGTTGGGGGTGGGGAGTGCGCGAGGCAGCGCGGTTCAATGAAAGCCCGGGAAACCTGAGGGTCAAGAGGGAAGGGCTGCCGGGCAGGGGAGCAGGGTGTGCCCCTCCAAAGCAGCCCACAGCCTTCCCTCCAGCCGCACACTCAGCCTGGCTTCCCCGGCTCCTTTTTCTAGATTCTCCTGCCCGGCTGCTTCTGCTGCCCTTCCTCGTGGTTCCTCTGGGCCTCCTGGTCCTGGGCTCCCCTCCCCGCCTGATCTGTGACAGCCAAGTCCTGGAGCGGTACATCCTGGAGGCCAAGGAGGCTGAGAATGACACGGTGAGGCCCTCGCTAGCACATCTAATAGCCCTCACTCTCGGTGGTGCTGGTGTATGTGTGTGTGTCAGTGTGTGTGTGTGTGTGTGTGTGTGTGTGTGTGTGACAGGTGTCTCCTCCAGGCCTCCAGATCCAGCCACTGGGATGCCTTCCTACCACTGGGTACCAGGGGGGAGGGGGGAGCCTGACCCCCATTAAAAATGACAAAGCCAGTGGCCCCCAAAGTATACCTGGCAGCTAGAGAAGGAGCAAGGAGTTCCGGTGACGCAGTACTTAAGGTATTTGACTGCTAACCAGGAGGTTGGTGGTTCAAACCCACCGGCTGCTCTGTGGAAGGAAGATGGGGCAATCTACTTCCGTAAAGATCTTGGAAACCCAATGAGGGTGACTATGAGTTAGAATGGAGTCGGAATCGACTTGATGGTAGTGAGGTTGGTTTGGTTTTTGGAAGGAAGGGGCAGAGAGTGCCCTGCAGTGGGCGGGCAGGTTGCCAGGAGCCCTGGGGCCCTGAGTCCGGGACTTGTGCATTTCAGATGGGCTGTGCTGAAGAGTGCAGCCTGAGTGAGAATATTACTGTTCCAGACACCAAGGTTAACTTCTACGCCTGGAATAGGATGGAGGTGAGCTCATGCCTTCTCCCTCTTGGGGTGTCTCAGTCTGGGAACCTGATGGGGTGGGAGGGAGAATGCTAGAGAGAAGGAAGAAATGTAGCACATTAGAAAGATGGGCTGTAGGGAGTCCATTCATTCATTCATTCATTCAACACACCTGATGTTGGCTAAGTCCCGTGCTTGGGGCTGCTGAGGGGGAGCAGAGGGGATGGTGTACCCACCTGACTCCGTGTCTCTGATCCCCCTAGGTCAGCCAGCAGGCCATGGAAGTCTGGCAGGGCCTGGCCCTGCTCTCAGAAGCCATCCTTCAGGGCCAAGCCCTATTGGTCAACTCCTCCCAGCCCTTGGAGTCCTGGCGGCTCCATGTGGACAAAGCCATCAGTGGCCTGCGCAGCCTCACCTCCCTGCTTCGAGCGCTGGGAACCCAGGTGAGTAGCAGGGGACTGTCCCCATACTATGTTTGCCCTTTCTGTAACATGGGGAGAAGGGACCCTAATAGGAGTGCTAGCATTCTCTTCACCCTCCCAGTTCTGCCCTCCCGCCCCACCCTGTCCCCAACTTCATTTCCCTTCCGGCTCCCTGGCACTGCAGTGCTACGTCCTGTTCTCTCCCTGGCAGAAGGAAGCCGTCTCTGTTCCAGGCACAGCCTCTGCTGCTCCTCTCCGAACATTCACTGTGGATACTTTGTGCAAACTTTTCCGAGTCTACGCCAATTTCCTCCGGGGCAAGCTGAAGCTGTACACAGGGGAGGCCTGCAGGAGAGGGGATAGGTGACCAGGTGCTCCCAACCTGGGCCCATCCACCACCTCCATCGATCACCACCGCTGCCTGTCCCATGCCTTCCTCGCCACCACTCCCAATCTCCTTCAAGGGGCTATCCACTCAGTGCCAACCTGTCCAAGGGACACTCCAGGGCCAGCGGTGACTTCTCATGGGCCAGAACTGTCTAGAGCTTGACTCAGTGAATGAAGAATGTCACAGGGCCAGCTTGAAGCACAGGGAGGAGAAATTGAGAGGATGGAAGCTCTAAACTCAGGGACAGAGCCTTGCTGGGGAGAAACCTACACTCACCCCAGTGCCCCACACATACTGCGAGAGGCCAGGACCTGCTCTGGAGGCAAAATATCTCTGTTGGCCTCCACTAAGTAGGCACAGGATGAACTGCAGAATTTAGAAGGCAAGCCATGAATTCTCCAGGCCTGATAGGGACTCCCATGGCAGGGAGTCCACTGGACAATGGGGTGGCGGGAGCCACGAAGATGCCATGAGGGCTGGCCCCTGGTTTTCATGGGGTCTGTGTTTTATATTTGCAATCCTGCTGGCAAGAACTGAAACCACCGCTGTGTCTCCTGGCTTTTCTGTTTCCCTGGGAGCCCCCTACTTCCTTGGTTTCGCCCCATGGTTGCAGCAGGCCTGGGGATACAGGGTGGAGTGGGTCAGGCCCTACGTGCTGCCTTGCACGGCCTGTCTGACCTCTTGACCCCCCTGGGCCTGAGGCCACTGGTCTGCCCGCGCTGGTCAATAAGATGTCTCCGTTCAAGGCTGTTCCCTCAACAGGCACCTGCCAGCCCTGCCCTGGACAAGCCTTTAGTGAGGCGCTGTAGCCATTGAGGAAACGCGAGCCAGGGAGAAGGGCTCCTCTGGGGGTTGGCAGCAGCTTCCAACACCGGCCACTGATCCCCTATTATTTCCTGCCTCTTCCAGGGGCCCCTTTCGCTGATGCCACATTCCCTCCTAAGTGCCCTAGCCCCTTCTAAGCCCCTCTGAACTTCAAGACCTTGCCCATTACTGTTCCATCCTGATGCCTGCAGAAGGTGCAAGAGACAGCGCTGTCCTGGTGTCCTGGGAGCTGTCTGCACTGAACAGCGTGCCACCCGCTGCTCTAGGTGGTTCCATTATATAACCTCATTGTATTCCTTACCTAACGGAGAGTTACTGCTGCCATTCACATGTTACCCATGAAGAAGGAAAGTAACCTGTCCAGGCCAAGAAAACAAGAGCCCCCAATTTCCCCAGCGCTCATCCCTACCCTCAGCAGCTTATCCCCTCCACAAAGCCCTCACTTCCCTTACTCCCCTAAAAGTGGACACACGGAACTAATGCACCTCTACACCTGATTCCTACTTCTGTAACTTTCCCTTTACTCTCACAACTCACTTGTAGTTCCTTCCCAGAAGCAAAGTTTCAGCTGAAAAGCACCACCCAGGAAAGAGCTACGCACACGGCAGAGGATGTCTGGACTCCAGTCCTGGCCATTAATTAGCCTATAGATGGAAGATCAGTCATGCTTATAGCACAAACGTTAGCGAAATTGGCCGGTGCTTCTGCAAATGTGCAAAGGGAGAGAATGTTTTGCAATCTGCAGCAGGAGAAACTGTGGGGCAGGTTTGACGGGGGCGGTTGGAGAGTACATTCCCAGTGTGTGAAGGAGGGGTGGAGCTGTGGTGGGAGGAGCTGTGGTGGGCGGAGCCAGTAAAGGGGAGGGACCCGGAGGAGAATGGCCACTCTGGGCAACCGGCTCTGGGGCTACAGTGCCCTCTGCAGGTCCTGTTTGGAACTGTTTGAGAGATCTGCAAGTGATAAAATCCTTAAGGCTCTGACTTCATTTCAATAAAAATTTATATTGCTGTTTCCACACATGGCATCTGCTTTTTGAACGACCACTTTGAGTCAGTAAATTAAGGGATCTCCTTCCCGTGCTGGGGAAACTGAAACTAAGAGACTTGTTTTTAAGCCCCAGGAGTCCAATGACAGAAGACCTGGACATACGATTTAGGCCCGGTAATCCGCAAAGCCTGTCCATCTCTTAGCTGATTTGCTGTCTAAGGCCCAGACATATCTTCATCAAACACCTAGCTCTGTTCCCCCAGGATTCAAGACCACTGACCTCATTCCCCAACTTCAGACTGCTTACTGCTTTCAATTTTAAAGAGAATAGTTTTGAACTTGAACTATAATTCCTGGGCCAGCTGGGAAGAGTGAGTATATTACCAAAAACCAAACCCACTGCCATCCACTCTGTTCTGACTCATAGCGATCCCCACTGGGTTTCCAAGGCTGCAAATATTAATGGAAGCCGACTGCCCCATCTTTCTTCCGCAGAGTGGCTGGTGGCTTTGAACCACTGACATATTTATTTATTTATTTTTGTGATTTGGGTGCAAATTTACAGAGCAATTTCACTTTCCATACAGCTGTTTGCATACGCTTTGTCTCATGACATTGACCACAATTTACCACAATGCAACAGCTCCTCTCCCACTTCCTCCCGATAGTTACCTCTTCCCTGTGTCCATCCCTCCATGCACTCCTGCCCCTTGAGCTATCTTCCTGTGAATAAGCAGCCCTTCTTTCTCCCATGATTGTTCTCTCCAAGGTGTGTAAATGTTCAACTCATATGCCTGTCTTTTGTTTGGCTGGAAGCCACAGGTGTGGGTTCAATTGCAGACCTGAAGGGCAGCTAGGGGCCATAGTCTCAGTGGTTTCACCAGGCTCTATCGGACCAGCAAACCTGGTCCCCCTCTTTTTTTTTTCCAAATAATTTTGAGTTTTGTTCCACGTTGTTCTCCCTCTCTATCAAGGATCTCCTACATAGAACACCTTCCAAGTGGTTGACAGTGGTAGCTGGGCACCATCTATTTCTTCTGGTCTCAGTCATACAGGCTGCAGATCGGATGGTGTACCACTCACCAGGGCTAGTTGTTTCCATGACTTTTTGGTTTTCTTCATTCTTCTTTGCTCTGAATGAGGACAGACCCATTGTTGCATCTAGATGGCAGCTTGCAAGCTTTTAAGATCCCAGTCGCTACTCGCCAAAGTAGGAGATGGAACAATGCTTTGTGTAGTATGTTATGCCAATTGAGCTTGATGTGCCCTGTGACTATGGTCCCGAGCCCACAGTGAACCACTGACCTTTTGGTTAGCAGCCAAATGCCCTAACCACTGCACCACCAGAGCTCCTGTGTAAGTATATGTTGTTGTTGTTGTTGTTGTTATATGCCGTCGGGTTGGTCCCAACTCATAGCAACCCCTCCTTGGGTTTCCCAGGCAGTATCACTATGGAAGTAGGATTGCCCAACCTTCCTTCCGAGGAGTGGCTGGTGGGTTTGAACCGCCAGCCTTCTGGTTAGCAGTCAAGTGCCTTAGGCACTATGCTACCAGAGCTCCAGTTTAAGTATATAGAAACATTTAAAAACACTCTCTATTTATTCCCCATTTATGGAGTACCTACTGTGTACCTGCCTTGGCACTAAGTGCTGGAAAACATGAGATCACACTCAGCCTGTGTTGTTGAGACGCTCAAGGTCCAGGGTCCCCTGAGCCTGGGCAGTTCCCTGGGGCATTCCTTTAGACCAGTCTGGCTGGCATGTGGCTGAGTGCTGAGAATTGTTATGTGTGAGTCCCAGGAAGGAAGGAGCCACCTCCCGAGAACCTGGGCAGGCAGAGTCCCTGGCTGAGAGATAAAGTGACACTGGGAGGGTGATGCCGGATTTCAGAGGCTCTTCAAGGGCAGGCCAGGGGTGAGAACTTTGCTCTGTGCTATTATTATTATTAACAACAACACATCAGATCTCTGGCCACCTATTTGATATCCTGTAATTCTCACAGCTCCTTGAAGCCAGAGCCCAAAACTCTTATCCCATTTATCAGATAAGGAAAGAAAGTCCCGTGAGGTAAGTGACAGAACCGCTCTTTGACTTGCAGACAGGACCAAGAGCCAGCACAGCACCGTTCTGAGTCAGCAGGTTACACCATTGTTTAATGGCGGCTATGGCTTGTTTGTAGAGAGAGAGCTTTGTGATTTACAAGGTCCTTTCCAATCCATGTTCTCATTTGTTCTCCTAATAACACAAGGAAGGCAGAAATAAATGCAACACCAAACACACTGCCATTGAGTTGATTCGACACATAGTGACCCCCATTGGGTTTCCAAGTCCGTAAGTCTTTACAGAAATAGGTTACCTCATCTTCCTCTCAAGGAGCAGCTGGTGGGATTGAACGGCCGACCTTCTGGTTAGCAACCAAATGCCTTACCCACTATGCCACCAGGCAGGAGCTATACAAGATCTCCCTTTTGCAGAAGAGGAAACTGAGGTCCAAAGAGATTACGGGGCCTTGCCTACACCAAAAGACACTGAGAGGAAGAATCAAGACCAAAAGCCAGGCTTCCAGGCTCCAGGGTCCCTCTTCAACCTGAACCACAGGATCATGGAGGAGCGAATAGGGCAGAGGCAGTGGGCAGGTGGGAGGAAGGAGCTGCAGCCAGCGAGTCCTTAGGCCCATCTGTCCCTAGCTACCAACTCCATCCCCCTCCAGCACGCTGAAGGTGCCCTCCCACCTCCTCTCCCCTTCCCGACTCCAGTCTCCCAGCGCTGGGGCCAATAGCTCTCCACCTTAACCTCTTGGCCTTGGGGACTCTGGCTGGAATCCTTTCTCTAGGTATAAGCATTACGCTGAGCAAATATACCTGCCTGACTCTGACTCACAGGCCTAGCATTTTACTGGGACTACTCAGTCCACATCATGGCAGTGATTGCAGGGATGGCTTAGGACTGGGTAGCGTTTTGTTCTGTTGTACATAGAGTTGCTATGAGTCAAAGCCAACTTGACAACACCTAACGATGACTACTCAGTTCACTGGTCTCATAAGGGGGTGATTGCTTTGGAATTGAGGTAACTAAGTGGGATCCCTTCAGGAAAACCAAAACCCACTGCCATCGAGTTGATTCTGACTCATAGCGACCCCCTTTGGGTTTCCAAGGCTGTAAATCTTT